TTAGTTTGCTTCCTGCTGCTCCCAAGTAAAGGGAAAGATCGCTCCCCTCTTTTCTAAAAGTATGAGAAATGAGAAAAGCAATATCTCAAATGAAGCTCAATGACGCATTTTACTACTGGTAATGTTGGCGAGTTTATATTGGAAGGTCTTCGGGCAGTAGCAGCGCCACTGTCAAAATTCTGTGTTCAGAATCTTCTAGTTAAATATCACGATTCTACAGTTGTTATTGCGAGTGGCAATGAAGTGCTTCTCCATTAAATAGGATTTTCTTTCTTGTGGTTTTGGTGTTAACAGATTGATAGATTAAAGAGGCCATGAATGCCAAACATGCTGAACCACAGTCATTTAATGTCTAGAGGCGCCTGAGTATTTAAAAAAAACTCTGATCGTCTTCGTCATTAATTCTCCACAGTCGGGGCGACTATTGAGGGGTCGTCTATTCACACACAACACTGCTCAGAGAACCGTACACTCACACACATCACTGCATCATAATCTGGGATTAATAGGCATCATATCGTTCTAATAGCAATCAATATAATTAATATATGGTTGCTGAAAAAAGGGTAATATACATCCTCTAAATCCTGTAGAAAATGTCAATCTCATGTTCTAAAACTGGTTGGAATTCACTGCATTTACTGACATGCTGGTCCCCTTTTTTACATAGAGCTGTAAAAATAACACGTTTTCTCTCTCCACTTGACAAGTCCATCGGTAACCTACAGTCTGTTTTTTCCAAAATGAAACTTCAAAGTAGAACGCAGACCAAAACTACTTTGTTAGGCCAAATAAAGGATTTGCGTTGAGGTTAAGTTTTGTATGTTTGTGGCGTAAAATAACGGTGGTTCTTACCTAACTGGAGTTAGCTTAGTGTGCACATTACATGACGAAAGCATGTTAATGTACGGTGAGTTGGTTTCCATAAATTTCCAAATTGAAGGAATTCCCTTAAAATAGATTATTGAATGTTTTTTTAGTGGACAAATTGACATGTTTTCCTAATGGTCATGCTAAAGGAAATAGCCTTAAAGATGAACCCTGAATGCCCACATCCAGTGAAATAGTTTATTTGATATTATCATAATTCTATTATCTCTATTGTACAAGTGGGCATATTTTGTGTTGTTTAAGGAAAGGTTAGATATTCAGCAGAAATATTAAGTTGCATCCTCTGGGGACCACGAGCATTTGACATTTAAGGCATGCCTGGCCAAACATACACCTTTTTCAGGGGCCACCGTGGTGTTCAAGGAGACATTCGAGCCCGTTGTTGAGAAAATCCTTATAGCTCGTCCTTGGGGGACTGTAAATGATCAAATAGAACGGCCGGCCGGCTCTCTGTGTCCACACGTTCCTCTGCGGACCAGAAGCCCTCATAATTCTAAAGGTATGTATTGGAGCCTCCTGTCGCCTCGAGTCGCTAAGTCAGTAAGGCCCATCATCGCAGTCGGGCCCTGTGTCTGTGCAAACGGGGCTGCTGGTCATGAGAGCCAAGATCCCTCGCTCTGATGAATTGGGGTCTTAGCTGGATCTGGCCGGCACCAGCAAACATCGTTCATCAACCTCTCATGAGCTCATGCCTTGGGGAAGCATTCAGGGGTTAGACCGCCAACTCTTTACTTCGATCCCATGAATAATAGATGCATAATTGTATTGCCTGTTATCACCCAGGACCTGGTCTTAATTGTGTTGTATTTTTTCGGAACAGTGCCTCATTTCTGCCTAATAGCAACAAGCTGGATCGAACTGTTTTCATCGGTGCTCTGTTAAGAGAGTACACACTCGTGTAATCAGCCCAAACAAGGTGTATTGACAGGAGCAGTAAGGGCTATTTGCATCGTTGCAGGTGGGTTTTTTTTATCTCATGTGATTCTCTTAGTCTTCATGCTTTTACAATGAGCTTCGTGTGAACGGTCCAGGTGATTGATATCCGTTTCTGCACATGAGCCCTATAGCTGCGACAGATGCTCTGAAGAATAAATTGGTTCCGCTCATCGATTTGCTCCTGCTGTGCAATTAATGATCATACCTGGTGATACAAAATAATGAAAGGGCGCCTTGATGTGTCCGTGCGCTTGAAAGATAGAGGCGCCAACGGGGGACAGCAATACAATTCAGACTGTCAATTAAAAACTTGACAGCAACTATTCGCACTGCCCCAGGCTGTTACCGAAAGCAGCTACAGGTATTCTGCAAGAGAGTATGTGTATGCACGTATGTTTACGTGTGTGTTTGTGTGTGTGTGTGTGTGTTTAGGATGCAGAAATGCAGAGAGAAACGTCTTTTCCAACTGGTCACCGGACCAGCATACTGTATATGACAGGGTGCTCCTCCCTGCCTTATGGTCCCCAAATCTGCCAAATGACAGGACAGGGAAATAGGGTTACATATCATGACAAAATGCCATTTGTCATTTTTTCTTTGACTTTTGGTGAATATCTCTAATGACAAAACACAAGCCAGGACTAACTGCTCCTTCTCACGGAATTTCTGGGAAAGGTGCTTAAGGGGCCTCCTGGGGCCACATGATAATTCACATAATTCATGACTGCCGAAATTCATATCTTGCTGCATTTGATCAAAAGTTATGTAATCCTTAACGATTTTAAAAGGATTTTTTTGGTTTGATCTCTATGTTTTTGATCTTTGGCTGGTGCGACAGGTATATTATACATCCCTGTACATTCAGGGCCTCGTGTAAGTACATTTTCAATTTGTTTTCAGCGCAGTGTCCATCCTACAGAAATCCAATGTACGTTGTACAGTTCGGGTAATCAGCGCTTTGCCCACAATTCCGCACACTTTGCGAACACCAATGAATGCGCCTCCTTCCCTCTTTCTATCAGCCAAAGTCAATAATTGTAATGTAGCGACGAGTTTAACAACTGCTGGAACTAAGCGTGGACACTGAGTTGGAGATGCAACGTCATCTTTGATTTCTTCCAGTCACTGTAATATTGCACGGCTGCTTCATCTGTGACGCGTACACTATTTTACTGGCAGCAAGGACGCCAGAAATTTACCGTTTTTTTTCTGGTATAATACCATAAATGGTTTTTACACTATGTTACCGTAAAACGGATTACTGTATGTTACCATAAACTTAAACCAATTTTACTGTGAATTAACTGCCATTTACTGTCAGTCGACGCTAGTAACATACTGTTTTATTTACAGTGCCCTACCGTAACATACGGTATGTTGTCGTATATTGGATTACAGTTTGTTACCATACGATTACTGTTTTTGTGCTATAAATACCAGAATGTTACCGTTACTTATAACCGTATACTTTTGCATTTAATTCCCCACAAATTAAAGAAAGACAACCAAACCTTTTTCGGTCATAGTGGTTGGAGTTTATTATATGCCTTTAAGACAAAAATGTTAGGCATTTGTAACCAAGAACAAATCATAAAATATGCTGCATGTATACAATAATAAAAAATGAATCATAAATGATTACGAACAAGGTAAACCAACTGCAACAATACGCTATGTAACACTTTCAATTGACCGCAGCAAACGGCTGGCGTCCTTAATCCAGTGCCTCTGTAAAACAAACCAAAATAAAATATTTAGAAACACTGTCATTGGTAAAATATTAAAATTACAAAGATGAGGAAGACAACAAGATGTAAGGAAAGAGAATCTTAATCATGCCAGGCAAATGACACTTACCAACGTTACTTGGAGAGACGAGGCAATGAGAAACTCCTCCGATGTTGAACTGTGCACTGGTGTTCTGGATGAACTGAGATTACGCGTCTGACGTCAAGTTCAGGAGCAGTCGGTCACGATTAACCCTCAAGTGACTGAGCGAAGGTGGCACATGGGATAGGGAGGGTGTGCTGTGCACCGCAAGGTGGGTGGTTTGAATCCTGTCCGCTCCCTTTGCCAAGTCGAAGTGTCCCTGAGCAAAACACCTAACCCCCAAATACTCCACACGTTTTGGATAAAAGTGACAGCTGCATGTATAGTAATGTCCTGTAAGTCAAAGTCATCATCGTATCTCATGAGATAATATCTCATTATGATGACTTACAGGACCTGTTTTTCAGTGGCTGACATGGGCTTCCATACATTAACCTACAACAGATTTAGATGGATTGTGATTCACTGCACTTGTATGTGTATTTCCACCACTTCATAAAATATATGTAACATGCAGTTGAATTACGGTAGTCTGCTATTATTGTAAATTGACAGCTTTAACTGTTTATTTATGACATTGGCCGTTAATTTACAAGCAAGCGATGGAAATATAACTGTATGTTACAGTTATTATGACATACTGTAAGATACCGTTAGAAATGCACCGTAAATTTACAGAAATGTGTTACAGTGTAATGATTTTGTGTTTACTCAACTGAAAACGTGTGATCCGTGTGGCAAAGATCCTTTCAGCTTGTCTCCATGGACTTGGTTGGCTTCTGGTTTGGATAACTGCTGTCATTTCACCAGGAGGCATATGTGAGGAAACCCGCCTTCTGGTTTTAGGAGACGCAGAATTTCCACCGCAAAACGGAGGCTCGCTTTCACGGGTGGTTTCCGTACATACCGTGAAATACCCAATTAGGGGCACTTTACGCATCTCATCCCATCTCTTTATAGGAACCGCCCCCCTCTACCGTGAACGCATATACATGACACAAGAAAGTGCAATTTGCTTTCCGCGAAAATGAGTCTGCGCTTTCACCTCAGTGCGGCATGTCTGTACATAACTCGCCAGGCTTTTACGCGCACGTTGCGAAACAAATACGCCTGAAGTGGGCGCAAAAACGTTACTACATTAGGCCCTCAAAGTCAGCCGGAGCCCCCCTACACACAAAAATAATCCTTATAATAAAGCTCTTTTGGGTGCCGTCGCTCCTTCACTTCTCACTGGTTTGGAGTAGAGGATGGATTTACTGCTGCCACAGCCAGTCCTCCCGGCTGCAAAAGTCGTATCCACGTCCGGCTCGGCCCGTGAGGAGGCAGCTCCGAGTCAGGCCGCGATGTGATTGGCTCCCGTTGGGTCGGGGCTGGCTCCCACATCCAGCTGAGTGCGCTCTGCTGATGGACGCGCAACTCGGGTACAGTACGGGGGAGACGAGAGCGAGAGGCAGGAGCGCCCGCTCCGTTCACGCGTGCCACCTATAAAGAGGGGCTGGTGCTAGGGATATTTCTGGGAATATTCGATTTGTTTGACGCCAGTGTGTGGTCGGCGGCGGGATGTTGCGGCAGCATCTCCGCGGCACTTTAAAAACCTGAAACTGGACTGAGTACTGGATTCTCTTTTGGAAGTTGGCTATATAGACAGACCATTTATATTAAGAAAAGGCAAACTAACGGGGGAAGGTTTGAAGTGTGTGTGACACCCCCCACCGCCTCCCTCGCCCCGCCTTGGACACGGGAGACCGGGGTCTTGGGCACAGCGTTCCTGCTGAGGGAAGGACGCGCGCAACAGCGCACCACCTGGAAACTATACGCTCCGCCAAACGCACCAAAAAACCCCACTACATTTTCTCCTCTCTTTGCCCCCCCCACCCCCTCTCCTCACCCATCGTCCGCGCTCGTCGCTTCTGCTTCAAACCAACAGGGTTCTTTTTATTCTACTTCAGGCTGGTGTGGACTTTATATCCGCGACATAAACTGATCATGCGATGACTGAGCGCGCTTTTGGGCATTACAGGTAAGGAATCCCAACGGAGAGATTTATAGAGCAGAATACATGAAAAATGAATCCATTCATTAGGAATGTCTTGTTGCTAGGTAATGGATTCAGCTGAAGTTTGGAGACGTATTGGAACATTTTTCTGTTGTCTGAGATATTTGGAATAAAAGGAATGCAAGTCCCTTGAATTTTGGGTGGGCTCATAATGCGCTCTTTTCTTAAATAGCCAACTTCTGTCCGCAAGTATGGACTTTGGTCTTTTCTATCTAATCTATTAAAACACGTCTTTGTAACATCTTTTACACGATAATTTCGCGACGAAGGGTGCGCATGTTTTCATGAAATGATTCGTCCACCAGATCTCCCGCCTCTTCGTATACATTTAATTGTAGAAGTCTATTTAGTTGGTATTACATGTGAAAGTTGGCAGATCTAGAATCGGATTTAGATTCCCCCGAACCTTGTGCGCTTCTGCCTTGTGCGCGTCTGCTGCCGCATTCACTTTATGGCCGTCGACTATATTCACTGTGTCTAATGTTCGATCGCTTATTGCCTGCAGGAGGTGAATGATGGCCGAGGATGGGGGAAATCTCTCTGGCACCCCCGACGCCAGGGGCTCGGAGGGTCGCGCTTCTCTGCCGAGGACTTTCATCCGGCTCAACGACCTGTCCGGCGTCGGGACGGGCGCCGGGGAGCGCGGCGAAGCGGCTGTGGCAGCGGAGGTGGCTTTGGCACCGCAGCCGGCGTCTCCGGCGCCCGACGGGATCTCCACAACCGGGGATGAGACGTCGGCGAGCGGCGACGAGAACCTGCCTTACCCGGCCATGGCCCCCGTGATCTTCTTCTACCTGAAACAAACCACCCGGCCCCGCAGCTGGTGTCTCAAATTGGTCTGCAACCCATATCCTTTTTACTATTTCATGCGCACACTCCTCCCACCTGTCGCAGGTAAGAAACACCTGCGCTCCGGTTGACCTCAAGCGGTTATTGGCTTACCAGAAGTCACCAGAAGTGAGCGTGTTGTGTTGGCATGTATGATGGTGCATCCGATGCTATTCTGAGCTAAATGTCCTGATCTGAGGTCTGTTTGTGACTCCAGTGTGTGTCCCAGTGGAGCTGCGCTCACATATTTACCTGACAGCTTTATTGTTCCCACAATGCGCTCGGAATCCTTTAAGCCTCCCCCTCTCCCTTCCATAATTACTTTATTGACACACACCTGATCGTGTCTGTTCATCAAGTCTTGCTCTCTTGGTGTGCATGTGTGTGTGTTTGGTTTTTTTTTTTTTTGGTGACCGGGCTGTAGGAGCGGGTGTCACCTTTTGGCTCTCTGCCAATACCATCCTTTATTTCTTAATTTTCTGGTGTTAGTTGTGTGTGTGTGTGTCTGTCTGTATTAATGTCGTTTCAGATTACCTCAGCTCCACGCCTCCCCCCTCCATCCATTCATCCCTTGGGCCCTGCCTGTTGCTCGGGCTCCTTTCCTCTCTCCTCATTTGTCACTGATTGAGATGCTGAGTTAGCCTGTCCTCCTCTTCCCCAGAGAAACAATGTCCGCTCTCTGGCTGCCTGTTGTTCCATCGTCCCCGTCTCATCGGTCGTTCCCTTTTCTTTACTCTGACTGCGTCTCCGTAGCTGATTTCCATGTCTGTAAATGTCAAATCTTTAAAAGGTCATTCAAATATACTTTTTTTAAAGCCGTCCCTTGTGGCTCCTCGGGCAGCAAAGGCAATCGTGATACTGTTGGTCAGTGGTTCTCAAACAACTTCTCTTAACTCAGGTTAAGAGAACACAAGGTTGTAGAGGTGTAATTATTGGATTGACGCAATCATTCTACCCAAATGGGGTTTCTGAAATCTGATTAATTCTCCATTAATCGGTTAAAGCACTGCTCATCCGGTAGATTTTTGCATCAACCTGACACAGGGTCTGCTGAATGAGCCCAACCAAATATCACAACCCCTCAAAACCTTTTTTTACCTGCACTCCATTTCGTCACCCATCGCAGGTTGGATTCTTACCTGTGACAAAGTGAATTGTTTTTGGACCATCTGATTCCAAGTCTAAACTAGTTTATGTGATTCAGTGGAAGTTTCACGACCCCCTCTTTGACATTTTTAATAAGGATTTGCACGTGCGTTTGTCCATGCGTCCCTGCGCCTGTGTCTGCCCATAGTGATTTAGGAAAAGGTCACCGCACAAATACGGTATCGATCCGGCTCTGTGTGCCCTCCTGCCCAGTGTATGCATGTGACTCTGTGCACGCTGTTGCTTTGCGTCTGGAGAGCGAGGCGCATCTCGCTACATTCTTTGAACCTGTGCCCTTCCTGTGCACTGTGGTTGGAGTAATAATCCTGCAGACTCTCCTTCCCCTGCTATAAATACCTTCACGCTGCCTCGCTCCGCCTCCGTCTGATGGTGGTAGACCCACAGCACCGAGAGGGCCTGACTTATCTCGGGACCAGAACTCTGAACAGGCATATCCCTGGCAGGCCCTCGGCTTCGGGGGCCCGCGGCCATTTTCAGCAGTCTGAAGTAATTAGAACCCCTGAATGCTCGCTTAGGTATTTAGGGTTTTTAATTGAAGACCCCCGGCGTGAACGCTCTGAGCGATGTTTCGCGCAGCGCCGGTGCGAACTCCCCTCTGCTGGTTCCTGCTAATGATTCCTGCAGCACGATAGACAGCGAGAGCCCTTGTAGCACAAACACTTCCCCAGGACTCCCGTAGGTGTCTCCTCTATGGCGGGGGGGGGGTGTTGAGCCAAGATGGAGGAGGAGGGTGAGGTGGGAATATGTCCAGCGCTCCGTGTCCTTCTCAGAGGATTACACAACTCAGGAACAAGGACACCTGGCCGTGCTCGGTGGGTTTCTGTCATCCCGATTCAGTTGCACTCTTCTGCTCTGCATCTCAACGAAGGCGGGCTTCCTTCGTTGCTCGTTGCTCTGACGCGCTTGTCAAATCGTGGAAGACGAAGCAAACAGTTACTTATTCAGCAAAAATATGTCACCTGCCCTCTCCGTTGCCTGTTCTCCTCTCAACCCCTCTCATCCTGCTCTTTCCTCCTGCTTTTTTTCTCCCCCCGGTTCCCTAGGCATTGTTTCTTCCTCCTTTGGGAGTTAAAAGTCTCATGTTGGCTGGAGAATGAATAGATGAGTGTGTGTGTGTGTGTGTGTTTGTGTGTGTGTGTGTTTGTGTGAGACATCACTGACAGCCTCCCAAAACCAGTCGAAGAAGAAGAAGAAAGAGGGGAGGCCGGGAGGAGAGAGAATAATTTGAACCCCCCCCAGAACTGAGGCTGTTGGAGAGCCGAGTGGGATTTCAGAGAGAATCCCTCCCAGCCTTCATATTTCACTCACCCCACCCCCGGTTCCTTGGAGAGTTTCAGATATTTCAGACTTTTTGCAGTTCCAGAGTTTCATCGTCAATGCAAATCATATCAGATGTTGGTTATAGGTGTGTGTCAGGTTTCTACCTTTTAGAAGATCCATACGAGTGTGCATTTCTGATAACAGAAGAACATAAATATGATGTTGTTATGTTTTCTTTAACTCACTGGGAGGCTGACATGAACTCTGCTACCCACCAAAGGATATATATGTGATGTATATATTTAACTGCGCAAGTGTTGGCCGGTGATGGAATGGGGCTCCTTTTTTTCAACCATGATTCATGCGTCTCGCTGAGCATCTGAAGTGACTTGAGGATGTATTTTGCATGTAGAGGGCTGCAGCAGGGATGTGCATCCTCGTGAGCCGCACACAATCATTCAACCTACGAGATATTTTAAAGCATTGGCGCCGCTTCTGATCTTCATATCGTTTGATCCTCTCCTGTAACAGTTAAACCACCTTTATGATTTATGAATGGAGATCACACAGCACCAAGTAGTGTCGAAACTCTTTGAGGTGAACCAAACTGGCATTTCATCCTTTCTGCACCCATATCTAGAAAAATAGACGAGCTGCGATTGGCCCACTGGCAGCACAAACCTCCACTCTGTGTGGTGGTGAGTTCAGCAGACTAGCCTACACGCCTGTGTCATCGGATGAAAATAAATGCGGGGGTGGCGTCATTTTACCAGGTGAAAGCTTCCATTCACATGATCGCTATCAAATGGAGTAGAAATGAAGTATTCTGTCGGATCAGTATCACATTAAGGGTACTGGTAATGGTATCATCAAATTTTAAACGATACCCAGCACTACTCCCTGCCTTTCCTGCATGTTTAATCCATGGCTAAGTTGCCCTGGGGCGTTCCTTCAAGTTGAGCAAAGGGCGTTCTGTGAAACAAGTTAGAGAGGGAAAATGGGGACGTCGATAAGTATCCAATGGCACCCTTCTTTGACCTCACTGTTAAATGAGTTGAACTTCTGGGCACTTCTGTCTCGCACTGCTCTCTGATCCTCTTTAAGATGGAAACAAAGAGGGTGAAAAAAGAAGAGAAAACACAGAGTTTTAATGAAAGCACCGCTTTATACGGTGGAACACACGGAGAGCGAGGCGCGTGGGCGTCGGGCATTCAGAACTTTGTGCTAGTTAGAGAAGATTCATCGCCAAGCCTCTTGCTCTTGGCTTTCGGCAGAAGGGAAATGAGCAAGTGTTCCTCGCATCCTAATCCAGATATCTGCTTCATCGTTGGCCATGTAGCGTGTGCTGAAAACTGCATGTTCCCGACCACCATGGTTGTCCCGTACCGTTCGGTAGTGCTTTTTGAGTCACCATATGTTAAAAAGGATTGTTCTTAACTTTACCCGATTGACTATTTGTTCTTAAATACTTGGTTGAGCTATTTTATTATAAACCAAAAGTAACCAATAGAAACAAATGGAGGGCGTCACAGTGGTGTGGTGGTTAGCACTATCGCCTCACAGCAAGAAGGTCCTGGGTTCGACTCCGCCCAGTGACCTTTCTGCGTGGGTTCTCTCCGGGTTCTCTGGCTTCCTCCCACAGTTCAAAGACATGCTCTGGGGATTACGTTTATTGGGGACTCTAAATTGCCTGTGTGAATGTGAATGGCTGTTTGTCTCTGTGTTAGCCCTGCCATTGGCTGGCGACAAATCCAGGGTGTACCCTGTCTATCACCTGAAGTTGGCTGGGATAGACTCCAGGCCCCCCGCGACCCTGTGTGCAGGATAAGTGGTTTGACATTGAATGGATGGAAATACAAATGGAGATGAGACATAATTTTTTTGCTACATTGTTCTTAGTGAGGAAGCTAAAGGGATACAAAAGGGGAGGCTCATTTTAGTTGATATACGTCAATCTCAATCCAACAACTCGCTGACTGATGATAGATGAGTCTGCTGGCAACAAAACACTCCCGATGCACTGCACACCACGTGTGATTCAGACACGTAGAAAGTGCCAATTATCAATGAATAACAAGTGTGAAAATTACGAAGCGAGGGTAGGAGAGAGAGAGAGAGAGCTCAGATTTCAGTAAGGTGTGAGTAGACGACTCAGTATGAGGCCCAATCTTAATGAGGAGCTTTGTTTAAGCTGTTAAACTGCAAACAAGAAACCCCTTTCAGCTCATTAAAGCGCTTCCGTTTTCTGCTCCGCACACCGGTAAAATACCTTCCTTTGGTGCACACAAAGTGACATTATTACACTTTACAAAAGGGGCAACATCCGCAGAGTGCGAATTGGGCCCAGCAAACACAAGTTTGAACAGAAAACTCCTGACACAGTTTAGCACCCAGATGCAAATTGTTGCCGCTGCTGCTGTGGGGATTCACTCCTCATGGAAATCTCACTCTCACTCGGTGAAAAGGTTTGGATAAGGGTCTGCTGGGGCAAAAAGCACCCTTCAGTGTATCGATGTCTACTGGGAACACTGTACAGTTTTTGGGCATCACTGCTCCTTTCACTGCTCACTCTGGTTCTATTGATTATTCTTT